CGGCTGCCGGCACGCTCCGTGCGGGGCTGGCGCTGGCACAGCCTCCGCGCTCTCCCAGCCCTGGCAGATGCGTATGGAAATGCTGGTTATTTATAGGCGAGCCGGAGCCGGCTCCTCCCTCCCCGCAGCACATTGAGGAGCTCCGGCTGTATGTGCCTGCCCCAGTGGGACCGTGGGAGGGAGGTGACCCACGAGGCCACCCGAGGGATGTGCAGCCAGGCACAGGCACAGACATAGACACGCACAGTGGGGCTTGTCTGGTCCCACCGAGAAGCCAGAAAGGCTTTGGGGTGGATTCTGCATCCATCTCCCTGTGAGATGAGTGTCAGGGTGGCAGAAGGACATGTAGTGACAGTGACAGGACAAGGGGGAATGGCGTTAATGGCAAATATTTTTGTGTAGATGATGGGGGGGGGTGAATAATAACTCAATGCCAACCCAGGTGGATCAGAACTGCTGGGGAGCATCCTGTTCCCAGTGGATGAACAGGAATCCTTGTCGGTATTGATGTGCACGGGGCAAGCACAAAGCAGCGGCTTGCTGGGGAAAGAAGGAATGACAGGAAATGGGTTTTGTGTCCTGCAAGCTATGAACTGCAGTGAAGGCTCTGCAGGGGTTATCACAACAGCTTCTCTTTCTGTATTGCTAAGACAGAAGCAACCATCAGGGCTCCTGCTGCATTACATTCTCCTGCTTAGGGTCTGCATCTTCCCTTTGCATTGTGCAGAGCAATAAACTCATTATCAGGTAATTGCAGCCTCATCCTAAGGGGTTCCCACCCCTGTGATGTTATTCCTCCTTGGAATAACAGGACCGGGGTTTAAAGGTTGCTTCTTGCTCACTTTCTGTCTCTTGATACAGCAAGCAGATCAAACAAACATCTCCATAGCATCCCGTGCTTCAGTCCCTACACCCCGAGGACAGCCTGCTGGGAACACTAATTCATCAGGAAATTCTTGGATGATGTCCCAAAAAGTATTTCTAGAGAATAGAAAGTTGGTCTGGCAGGAGAATGTGCTTGACACATAAATAATGGATGTTTCCAGCACATTGTGTGCTTTGAAGCTGTGCGTCTTGAGCCCAGAAGGAGGGTGGAGTGTGTGTTGGAGGCAGCCAGAGGACTGAGACGCTGTGTTGTCCTCAGTAATACCTGCAGCCCCACATCCTTGTGTTTGAAGATGGTCAGGGCAGTGCTTTACATCACAACCCAAGCTGCTGTCAGCTGTGTGGGCACTTGTAGGTGTGGAGGCAGCACAGCAGGGAAGGTTTGTTGTCTCGTTTTGAAGGCTGCTGTGTTATAAGCAGGCTCTAATGAAGCAGACCTATGGTTTTATCCACTGCAAAAGGCTTTCCCTTGCTCTCTGGGAAGGGCAGAGGAAAAACAATGCTCAAAGGAAGCTCTTGAGACTTGGAGCATCACAGAGCAGAGGAAGCAGCAGCAAATATTTAGGTAGGAAGACAACACAGCAGCATGTATTATAAACTGTCCAGTGGTTGCTGTGGTGATTCCTAACATCACCCCGACATGTCCTAGTTCCTGGAAGAGTTGGGTTTTGCCACTGCAGTGAGTGGTGGCAGGTGCAGCAGAGACAAACTTGGTTCCCATGTACTTTAAACCACAACTGCAGCGTAGGTCTCTCTCATGTCTTGTACCCAGAGTGGGTGCAAGGCAAACTGAAGGGTAGAACAGCTGATTCCCACAGTTTTCTCCTGTGTCCAGTCAATTCCACTGACTTCAGAGACGTTTTACCTCGCTCCTTACTGCACCAGCATAGATCTTGCTCTCATAAATTAGTAAAACATTTGTTCACTTGGGGCATTTTTGGACAAGATACCAACCATACAGTGACTTTCAATGGCATTAAGGGTCTCACCTCCTTCTTGTTCCGGGAAATTGCATTTGGATCTATCGATCCCAGAGACAGGTTTGGGAGAACCAAGTTGAGCACTTTCGCTGCAAAAACCTGTGGGAGAGGAAAGCAAAGCAGTTAAAGGGCTTGTTAGAGCAAGAGAGGTAACAGAGAGGGTGAAGCCCTGCACTGATGGGAATCTGCACAGAGGTGAAATAGCTCAGAAATGTCAACTGACACTGGAGAAAGATCTGCCCTATATTTAAAGCATTTACCTTAAAGAGAAAGCAGTCTGAAATGCCCTCAGCCTCCATCCACAAGCAACATCACAACTTCATGTACTTTGCCTTTTTCTCAAGTTAACTTCTAAAAGGCCTCAGTTAAGCACTTTGATGGGGAAAAAGCCATTTCTAGCCCTTGGAAGGGCTGGGGTTTGTTGTTTTACTGCCCTTTCCTTGCTGTCCCAGCTCTGATTTCAGGCTGCAGTGCGTAAGTGACGCTTGGTGTGATTTGCAGTAGTTGCCTAGGCTGCAGTCTTCTTGATAAGCATATTCACTGGGGAGCCTGTAAATAAACAACAGCAAAATGTGCCTGCATTGGCTAAGGAAATCCAGGGCTCACTTGTCTCCTGGGAACACAACAAAAGCATTCAGCAGGCTGGGAACCACTGGCAAAAGAAAGGGTAAGGCCTTTTGTTTCAATAGCACTACAAGCACGTTGCTACCAGGTTCTGCTCTCATCTTTGAATGCTGTCTTTAATTAAGTGATCAGCACTTAAGTCATAAAATACACCATTAGTGTTTGTTGGTCTGTTTTATGGCCCTTCCCGTTCCCAGCCACCACTTGCAGGGAGGCTGTCACATATGGTCTCTGTTTCTGCTGATGTGCAATCACTTCTGAAGCAGTCCCTGACATTTCAGATCACAGATGATACATGACAGAGTAATTATGATATTAGAGGAATAAAGCAAGGTTGAAGTCAAAGTCATCGGGGAGTGAAAAGCAATGAAGACTCACAAGGAGGTTTGGGAACATGTGTCCCTTGACTGGAAGTGGAGCTTAAAGCTGATTTCATGATTTTTTTGTGTTAGTTTAACTATGTGGTACACTATTCACATATAGCGAATGGAGTAATCCCTGTTCCTTCCACACCTCAATGAGAAAGGGGGAAGGCAGCAAGACCTCTCTTCACTGGATTTGCAACTGGATGTTTCTTTCCAGACACAGGGCACTGATGAAACTGTGCTTCTGCAAAGAGCAGAATTTGATTTTCCTGCACATAGTCTGGGCTGGTCGGGCAGAGGGAAGGTATTTCTCAGGCAGACTGAAGGATTCAGTGTGCAATCAGGCTGCTGTTATTGTTTCTTTGAGCTCTCATTTGTTTAGGCCAAGGTAAATTCTTGCTCAGCTGGAAACTTCCCCAGCAAAGGCATGAATGCAATGGTCCTTGGGAAATGGCCCAGGGCCGAGGAGTCCCACCAGTTCCAAGGGAAAACCAAAGCCTTTGTGCCTCAGAGGAACAAACACCAATGAAACAGGGTTTGGCTTTCAGAGGAAGAAACAGCACTCAAGAGTTTTCAGCTGAGCTTTATGGGAAAATGGGGCTTACACAGGAATACTCTACCTATTTCATGCCTTCCTCTTGCAAGTACCTTTGTCACTCTGGGACTGATTTAAACTAAATTTGACAGAGCAAAGGTATTACAAAGAAGAATTAAATTTTTATCAGTTTTGAGGTGCAGCAACAGATTTGAAAGAGAAAGCAGCTCAGTGTGACTTGTATTACTGTGTGTGAGAGACTCTCTAGGAAAGAGACCATATAAACACCTCAGAAATACTTCAGTTAAAGCCTGGGATTTCCAACATTGACATAAAGCAACAATCTGGTGCAGATCTGCATGAAACCAGGCTACAGTAATACCAGTTCCCAGAGAACTGGCGAGTCCTTGTTTCAGAAAGGGGATAGCATCTTCCTC